GCCGCCGCGACGATTGTCAATACAAGGCGTTATTCTTCCTGGTAATGGCACGCACAATGGATTCAACCTGCGAGACTGCTTCCTCTCTGTAGTATGCTTGGTGAACCGTATCAACTTCTCGCAATTTCATATGGATGGAAAATTCTTTGAGGAATCATCCTGAAGAATAAGTAATTTGTGCCATTCGTTTGTAAAATTTTCTTTCCAAGTTCTCCTTTGAGATACCTCTCCAAATGAATATAAATATACTCTATGTATAAAAAAAATTGTTTGTGAATGCATTACAAAAATTTGGAAATATGTATTGGAGATGAAAAATGTAAAAAAAATGCTGATATCTTACTTTAAAAAGTTTCAAGATGCAACCTTTTAGTTACTTAATCATTGCTTCACTGAGTCAGTTAAATGAACTTACAAACGATATAATTAATATAATTTGTTCTTTGTAAGTGTGTTAAGTTTATCTTGTCGCATAAAAAAGGCCAAGTATTAGATTAGAATAATAAGAATTATATCGCTGAAATTAAGAAATTATATCACTGAGTATCGAAGATGAAACTCGAGATAGAACGTTTAAAACTAGAGAAGCTGGCAATTGCTGGTACTATATCTGATTTAATAAGCTGCATCTGTTTTTGCTGCCGAGTAATTGTTGGCGCTATATCTGATTTAATAAACTTCTTTTATTTCTGCTGTTGAGAAATTTGTTTACGATAATATAACTAGTAATGTAAAATAACCTTTTACTGCTTTGTAAGGAACTAATTTAAAGAAAGTTGAATAGTTCCAAGATTCAATCTGCAACTGTTTTCTTTGGGGAATGTTATTGCTTTAACTAGTTGCATCTCTGTTGACAGAGTAATTTTAGAAACAGTGCAGAAACCTGAAATATACATTTAGTAAACAAAAATGAATATTGTTACTATTCTAAAACTTAGTAAGATAAATTGAAGTCTCAAGAAAATAGAACAAATATTGTAAATAATCACATAATTAAAAAGTGTTGAAATATTTTGAATATTTATCCGACCATGAAATCTACTTCAAAAAATCTTTCAAATTCTCAAAAAGTCCCCATTAAAATAATTAAATATGGCCAAAGAAATATCCATTTGTTTATGATTTACCTAGTTTGTAATAATTTATCTATAATCTAATTTAAAAAAAGAGGATACAAACCTAATTTCTTTGGTGATTATATCAATAATATATTTATATTACTACAGAAACGATCTTTATCTTTGCCGTTTCATTTATTTAGTTCCTACAATTTCCATAAGATGTCTCCCCTATTCGTTTCCAAACATTCACCGTACATATTGGTTATGTTACGAAGTATCATTTTATCACCACCTGACGCTTTTCACATCATCCATATCGACATACGGTCAAAATCCTCAATAGTCTAATAAAACGTTCAACCGAAGTTCAATCAACGCATATACTCAAACACAGGAAACGCAGCTGAGAACAAAACCCAGTCCAGTACATCAAAAGTACGCATCCCAATTTATACTATGAAATTGGCGTCACCCCTAACCCCCGCTTCACATCCGACAAATCAACGAGAAAACAAATGAATTTCGTTGCCCCGTCAATCACTAACAATTTCGTTCGCTCAGGGCTGGTGTTCCCCTTAATTCGGTTCCACCGACTGACTCGTACATTTGATTGATTCGTCCACGACAGTGCAATCGATTTAATTAGCTGCGTGCAAATTAGTCGCGGCGCCGTGACAGTCGTTCACGAAAAAAAGGTAGGTCGGCGCGCCAACGGCGACAGTGGCGACAGTGGCGACAGTGGCGACGGTGGCGGTTCACCGCGGAAAAGAATGTTTTCTCACGTGTTCGCGGATACGACGTCATCAGCGCTAAGAGTTAACGGTAACCGACGGAGGCACCGCGAGCTGTTGCAAGTGACTCACGCCTCTTCTCTACCTCCTCTTTCTTGCTTTGATAACATCGTGATTTCAAATCGTTTACAGTCCTGGCGTAACAATTTAATAGATGGTGCGTTGAATCAGACGAAATGGCCAATTTTTTAGGAAAGTTTCAAACATTTATAGGTTAGTTGAAAATCATATTAGTCACAATAATATACCTTTGTTACTGTAAAAGAAATTATGATTGCAGCAAGTGCAGTTTTTCAGAGAGAACGAGATAGTATATCAATATGTAAATAAATGTAAGATATATGAAATAGGTTATTTTATCTCTTCGTACAGGAGTTGGAAAAAGAAGTGAAAATGAAGTGAAAAGAAAGTGGTTAAACGTGAAACTTTATTTCCAATTAAATCCAATCTTGCAATGCCTTTATTGGTAATTAAACTTGCATCAATTTTTCCAATGCCAGTACCTGTAGATATTCGCATGGATTGTTTATTTACAAATTATTTATTTTTTATTTTTTTCAGAATGTGTTATTTCTTCGATCATATCACGAATCAAGCTCGATCCTTCCCTTCCCTGTTATTTTACCGAACGCGTTCGGACGAAATATATAGTCATTTGAGAAAACGAACAGGAGTCGTTAGTCGTCTCGCACGTCGTGACGGGCAAAAACGATGATATGCGATCCCCGTTAAACGAACAAAATTACGAAAACGTCCAAAAGGAAGAACGTTTGGTCAGCTTAAACACGGGCCATGCCTGATGGAATCGAGTTCAACACTTGAGTAGCTTCTCGCTCCTTTGGAAACGGGCCCTCGCACTTATTTGGCCTCTTCCTGGCATTTCCAGCTGGGAATAGAGATATGTGCCTGGACTGTCGCGGGGAATCGTGGGAAGTAAGCGACACCAATCGAAAAATCCTCATCCTCCGCAACCCTTCGCCACGATGAAATTATATCGTAAAACGACACCGTGCAACAAGGTGTCCAGGGAGCAGAAACACCGTTACGAACAGTACACTATACTCTTTTCCATTTGAAAACCTTACTGTAAAAAAACCGATGGGAAATCCGTTTCTTTCACAGCTATCGCAAATCCTGTTTCCGAGTACAGATAACGTTGGACATTTATGGAAGAAGCTAATGAGGGAATCGTTGTGGTTTAATGAAACGGCGTTTCACGCGCTTTTAAGCAAACGCGGATGCTGTTCTAATCAGCCTTCTCTCGTGAGCGGTGCGAGGTTCAATGAAAGTGTGCTGAGGTGTATTGCACGAGTGTGTCGGTCGAGAAAGAGGTATATTGATTTCACTGACTGCACTTTCATTCATCGACTTGGTTAGATATAGATATAGATAGAAAAGAGACTTTGATTCAATAAGATATACGACTTTTTTATTTACAAGATTGAGGGTCTTGATGATCTTTTATAAAAGATCGTGAATCTTTTATGAAAATGAATTTTCTTACAAAAATTGGATCCTATTCGAGGTATCCAATAATTGGTCTCTTCTCTACACCTGCATCTTCCAAAGCGAATTTTTATTTCTCGAGCTAATTAAAACACTTAAATCGAATAAACATTAATATCCATAAAACTTTCAATACTTTTAGCACAGGGCTGACAATATACGGTATCGGACGAGCCATAAAGCACTTAAACAATATTACCTTTTAACAAGGCATTATATATGCATATTACAGCGTATCGTGCTGAAAACAAGCGACTCCACTCGAGACATAAAAGATTCGTCCGGCGATCAACGCGTTAATAACGATTCGTCTCATCACACACTTTTACTTTGATGCTTGGATACTTGAGCACGTTATTTGAAATGTTAATCAACGGGGCAACTGTTATCAAGGTCCATGTTCGCGCCAATTTACAGTGCAGATACACGCGTGACGTGTCGTTGGCCGTCTTAATAAACGGTGTGAGCGTCGCCTTAAGTAACATTGCGTTACGCAAACGACTTGCACTTTCGTACCGCTTTTTTTCTTCCCACATCGCCCATACGGTAGTACACCCACTAGCGTCTGCTCGCTATACCTCCCACTTGTTCGCTTCGACGTACATCTCACCACTATTTTTCCGCAAATCAACGTTTACATTACATATACCCACACGAGGAGTTATTCCTGGCACAAGTTTCCGAGTATTGATACGTATTATCTCCACGGCTACTCGAACCGAATGTATCAACATTATAGGTATCGGGTCAGTCGTTGAGACAGGAGCTAAAAAATTGTATGACATGCGAGAAATTAATTGTTTTTTGAAAACGGTAAATTCATTGACCGTCACAATCTATGCATCACGATAACTATACTGGATATTTTTATTGCTAACAGGAGGAGAAATAAGCAAGCGGAAATTGTTTTCGAGTTTCGAAGAGGATGGTCAATATCCTGACACTATATGAGCAGAAGTTGCAACAGATATCACAGTCGTTTTATGTCTTTACCCGTTTGATGGAAACCACGTTTCGCAGATTGGTGTGAATTAAGAGGATTAACGAGTGTCCCTGGATCAAAATGATTTACGATTATATGTTTGTATTTATAACTTTATCATTTCTTGGACAAATGACCGTTGGTTCTTGACCTCTTCGAATTTATAGAATCACTCTGTGAAGGAAATTTTTGATTCAGGTGATTACCAAATTTTTATTTTTTTGAGACGATTCGTTCACTGTTAATCTATATAGGGAATTTTTAAAGATTTTAACACAAATCTTACATTATGCAAATTGCAAGTACACAGAGTACCTATCCAAATAGCAATTTTTACGTACAGTAAACTTTACTCGTCCTGTCTTCCCAATCTAAAATTCTAGGATATCAGTAGACTATCGTTACATCCAAATTTCCTATTATACATCTGTACACTATAAAATTTCCGAAAGCCTTAATAAGAGTCTCACCATAAAATCTCAATGTATCCAAGCCGTACCCCGACAATATCTTAATCTAAAACTTTCGCTTTTGCAGCACCCTATATCACGAAGATACAATATCAAAGTATTTATTAATAACTTTGAGGCGATTCGTAAACGCTACCGACAGATACCCGGCAGCAATCGGTGGCCCTATTTCTCCAATGACGAATCGATCCGTCTTGCAAGAAGCGTTCTCTCGTTCCACGATCCGTTCGGTCGAATTAAGACAAAGACGAGACAAGATTGCAAATGAAACGAGTATCACGAACGAAGCAAACCGAGTGCTTCGTATATCAGAGCCAATTTACCGGCCATTATACGTTTGCTCACTAACGGCTTCTTCGTGTGGTTTAGTTTATTGGTCAAGCGCGAAAATATTGGAGGTAATCTCCCAACCTAAATATTCGAACACTAAAGGACAGGTCGTGATAGAGCGTCAATTAAACAAATTAATGACACATCCGTCAAACAGGCGGATTAATCATCTTTATACCGGCCTCATCCTTGTTAAACTGATCAACGAGCTCACGAGCCACGTTAACTCAATATTCAATGAATGATGCTTGTATACGTTAATCATTCTGATTTTCTCAGGGTACCATGGAGGAGTCTATGCACATACGACGTCTAATAAATCTCGATTAACGCGACCACGGTGGCAATGAAAAGCGAGATCCCCTTTGAATTTATGATTACTTCTACACCCATCAAGTAAGTGAAAGCGCATTTTCCTCTGAAACCCTGGACTAGTTCCATTTGGATTATCAGCATCTCATTCGAAATTATTTCCAAGAAATTGAAATTTAACCCAAACTTTCGTTGACTATTTTCAACAAGATTCATCTTCTTTTTCTTTATAGTGCCATCGATAACGAATCACGAGTCACGATGATTGGCGAATTCTTCTTCCACCGAAAGGATTTGTGCCCCCGTTCCAAGAAATACCCGAGAAATACCCGAGAAATCGTGAAACTCCCCGGCTACTTTACGCTTTCGATTGGATTACCTCGAAATTTCACCTAAAACAACCGGCGAGGAACCTCGTAACAGGATCGTCCGATCGATCCCCCTTTGAACTCAATCAAGGCGGCTGATATCCGAGAGAGTATTTACAAGTGCTCGCGCGCGGCAGAGTCGCAGTCGTTACACGGATTGCGAACGAACCCAGGCAACTTCGTTACTATAATCTCCCGAAAAGAAAGTGGTCGAAGCCTTAACGACCATGGAGTTTCGATCGAACGATCGCCGTTTATCCTTCGTCGACGTTTACCAAGAAGCACGATGTCCTCTTGGCTGCAGAACCACAGTGCCACACATCGAATCTGTTTCGAGTCGAGGCAGCCATAGAGGCGGCTGGCCATTCGAAAGGAATGAGGATAGAAGGAACGGTTAGGCCAGGCCAGATATATTTAACCTCTTCGCTGCGCAGTCCGTCCGCAAGGAGCAACACTTGCTCTCTGCGATTTAAATAAATGCACGTTCCGAATACCAGCCATTGTTCCGTTTTGCAACGCGACCACTTATGAAGATTTTTGTATGAACAAACATTCCGTTGTTACCGTGGATAAAACGGTGTACAAAACGCTGTTCCTTTCTTCAGAATGCATATCGATGTTGCTATTTTTGGTTCACGGTGTATCGGCTTGGCTCTGTCGCTGTGAAAGGATCAACACATTGTTGCAGATATTGTCGTGCAGGCTGTCCCAGTTCTGCTTGAGATAACCTGTGTTCAGGGTGGTTTAACAGTGGAACTACTAGAACCGTTGAAATGATGGGTTGGGGATCTTTTGTTTTTGCAAGTGGGTGGAAGTATACAGTTCAAAGATTTCTTTATCCGAGTTTTTGATAATAGGAGAAATGTATTAAATATCAAATTTTAATTTCTCCTTTCGTGTATAAATAATTACGATTAAAATAATATAATCCTATTTTAACAAAAGTCAGTGTTAATTCCGACGAAAACATTTATATAGTGGCTTATGAAAGTATTTGAACATTTGTACCCCAATTTTTGATTAAACAAATACACATGTTGGACTTAAACAATGGAAATAATACTGCATTTGAGCTAACCATGTATAGTGTTAATAAACTAATCACCAATGTACTCAGATAGGCTTCGATAATTGTGAAATTTTAGAATCTTTCAAACGTTGTAATAATGTAATTTTTCACGTGTATTTAGATAACATAATTACATGTTCTTCGTTGTTAACACTTATGTACTATGTACATACTATATATAGAAGAGAAATATCTTGGCGCCACCTTGAGTAATTTATAAAAAAAACTGCCTAGAGAAAAAAGCATCAATTCGCATTAAAACTAAGAAAGCTAGATAAGATTTAGACAAGTAGAAATATAAATATGAAGGAGATAAGAATAAAAGGCAAACATTCTGCAAATTTCTTATTATCCTAAGTACATAAAATCCACGACATCCTGAAAACTCACGAATAAATCATCTTTTCTCTTCACAACCCACGTTTACACGTAGATCTGATTTGACATAGAAGAAACCAGCAGCAACGCGTCACTGTCAAATGTAGTCGTAGCAATAGTGAGTCACTTACTTCAACAGCTATACGATTTCTGATTCAGCAATTAAATATCACGTTGCGAAATTCACAATGCTTTACTAAATATTCACCAATGCTTCCGGCTTCTTCGTTTTCATAAAAATTCTTTTTTCTAGTTCAAAAATTGTGGTGTACAAGTTTTTCAATTTTGATTAGCTCTTCCGTTGTGTCCGAAACTATGCGATTAATAGATATATATTTTTCAGCCTATGTTTAATTTGATACTAGATGTGACACAAGCATTCGATTAAAGATTTTATCATAACCTATACTTACGATTAATTATCTCACTATAAACAAAAAATTTATATTCAAACAATCTAAAAAATAATTTCGGCCCTTTCCTAATAAACGCACGAAGAATACGATAACAATATTAAAACTCAATTCCTGTAAGCGCGTAAAAGCAAAGGAACGTGGAGCAAGTTTCACGCCCTCGCCGAGTTTGGAACCGGCAGAAAGCGAAATGGTATCGAACCAACGAGATATATACACGGTGAGAGATCCCGATGATAAAAATAGACTCTGAAACGGCCGTGAGGACCCTTTCGTCGGGTCTAAGTGCGTAAGTGGCATGTGGAGTGGTTGACCAGTTGGTCGGAAGTGCACACTACCCGCTCGATGGGATGTCAGCACGAATTGTGACGAAAGGATGCAACGTCGATTGGAGGAGAGAGAGCTCCAAGGGAATGAACCATAGAAAGAGAGCGAGAAAGACAGGCCCCCGATATTGCATACAGGCCAGGGAGGGGCTAGAGAGAGGGGGAATTTTCCTTTTTAAAAGAAACGGGACACGCCGTGATATAATCGCGTAATCGTTGCGTCGAGAGAAGTCAAAGGCACGAACAGTGCACACGATCGTTTCGGCTCCGGTTCGACTCGTGATTCCGGCTCTTCTTCTCTTCTTCCCCCATCCATAAACGAGGAAAGAACGAAACAAAGAGAAAGACGAGAGAGCCGGTGAGCAGCCGTCGTTCTGCTCCTTGCGAGTCGTGCCTCAACTTTCACTCTGATCTGTTACGCCTCGACAATATCCCGCTTCGTCCTCCCACCACCGTCAAACCGCGAATGTCCCACCACTCTACCTACCATCGTGTCGATCCTGTTCTGATTCCTGTTGCAAGGGTACAAGGTAACGAGACGTATAAACGCTGTACCACCGGTCACCGATAGGCCAATAGGGGCTAGCTGTCACTGACTCCACGATGTGACGTCATAGGCATCGTGCAATCGATAGCAAGAAGGGATGCAGGTGTGCAGCAAGATATATGAATCGACACGACATGGAAACGAAGCATTAAATGTTTGGCAAGGAACTTTATCAGGATATATGACGATTAAACGAGGGACTGGGATAAATCATGGAAGATGGATCTCTTTCTGTGTCCGGCGGATTTATGTGAAAAAGGGAACCCTCTTACAATTGACAATGATACACCGGTACTCGGAACTGATTCCACCGAACCGGGAACAATGCCCCTCTTGTCTGCTAGCGGTTAAGTAGACGCCATTTCAGAATTTTTGGCACGGCTTCTTTACCTTTTCAATGGCAAACACAGTTTTCCGCTCTTTTCGTTTCCTTTTTTCTTTTCCTTTGTTACATCGAGCTTGATCTAGGTGAGCGACTTTTTTTTTTTAAATATGAATAACCTAAAAGTTGAGAACTATTGTTTAGTAATTAAAATAGGTTAAGTACGGTGATTTATAACGATGTTTACCTTGTTGAATATTTATGTTGTATATGGTGTAAGACAATTGATTTACCCATTTGTCTTTTTCGTATTTTAGGGCCAATTTTGGAGTAGTTCTGGATTCCAAGGAAGGTGAGGAAAAAAATTAAAAATCACAGTAAAATAAGATTATGTCGCAGGATATTTGTCTATCGATTTCCATTTACAAATTTCCAGCTGTTTCGCAGTTTATTATAAGCTTAAGCATACAAGACGAGGCAGTAAATTTCACGATGAAGAAACAGAAACGCGTAGTAAGTGCAGGGAACGAAAGAAAAAATTATCGCTGTGAGCCAGCCTCGGCTCGGAGTTAAAAATATGGCCAATTAAAGACCCACACAAAGCTGAATGCAAGGGCCAACGTATTCTGGCTTGACAAATCCGAGATGAAACAGGCTCGTCGACTTTCCCCATTTGTTTTCTCTTGAATGCGAAATATCTTTGTACTTGACGTTCTCTTCTTCTCTTTTATTTCTTTTTCTTTTTTCTTTTTCATTCCTTTAAGAGATTTATCAGTTCATTCTCTGTGAACCTGAATTTAAAATATCTTCCATTTATATCGCATTATATAAAAGAGTCACATCAAAATTAGCTACAAGATTAAACAAAACCTAATCTATAACCAATAGAAATAATTACTAAGAAAAATTAATTTTTAAAAATTTAATTCAATTTTTGTTCAACAACAGTCTATTATGGGCTAATTTCTTCGCATTGATATAAATAGAAAACCGAGCTTATGCTTTTTTTCTTTCTCTCTTTTTTTTCAAAGCTCGTTAATTTGAATACCGTCAGCGTTCTCGTTTTTTGTCCCGAATAAATTATTCATACAGACGAATTTTTCTACCTGGATGTCCAACGACCGATTCCTTTTTCATTCGAGCACCAGTTTTCGTTCGTGTTTCAGGCCTTCGCGCACACGCACGTACACACACACCGTGGCATGTGGGACGATCGAGATTTAAGGCCGGTTTCGAAGATTTAAGATCTAGTCGCGTTGCGTTACGAACGTAATTTATTTTTACAAAATGTTGCAGGACTTGACACGAACCACCGTGGAAAAAAAAGGACAAAAATACAGGCGACGGTTAAAAGTCGAAAAACAAGTCCGTGGAAGAAGATAAACTCCTCAAGGAGGAAAAATGGTATGAGTCTCGCGAATCGTTTTACTTAGTTGTTTCTCTGAATTCTGGTAACGTTGAATCTTAATTGAAAATACATTAGGTTGGAAGAATACGAGTGAGAAGCTCTTTGAGAGAAACTGACAGGACATTAACGAGCATTCAGGATAATACAAGATGGCTCACTACTTGCACAACACCAAATGCTTTTCACGAAGATACGTCGCAAAATTAAACGGTGTAAAATTCCTGAATCTTTTTTCGCACATTTTTGAGTTTACGATGGAATCGTAAGGTATACATCCTTTCCTTACATAAAAATACATAAGTGAATGTATGGCGAATAAATTATGTTATCATACACATAGTTTCTATGTGATTCGATATTTTTATATCGTTCAATTTCTAGGATTAACACTGGATCTACTAAACAATTTAAAATAACTAGTTTCGGATATTTTATTTTTCTGATTACTAAAAACATGCAACTGCTTTTAACATAATTAATGTTATTTTGTATAATAGACATACATATTCGCCATATCATTCTATCTTCTTTTTATATTTATAAGCCTCAGATCATTATAGTCCATAGGCTGCATTATACCACTTCAATTATTACATACCATATATATAATACGCATTATAGATTGGTAGTTCTAGTGTTAAAGCTATTAAAATCGATTAGCGGAAGAGCAGATAATTCGTAAGGCATTTCGACCGAAAATATCTCGTAAAATATGCAAAATATACCTTTAAGCGGTTTCTGCTCTCAA